CCAGAAAAGGAGTTGACAATGAATAAAAGAAACAAGAAAACAAGCTTAGTCAGATTTGACATACTGCTAAGTAAAGAATTAAGAGTTTCAGAAAAGACAGAAATTCATATGCTTTTGACTCTTGGAAACCAGAAGAATCTTTAACTGAAACTGATGTGACCTAACTACGACTCACAAAAGTCCTTGAATTTCTTGTGCAACAGCTATGGCCAAGGACAAAGCTCCACACCAGCTGAACCATGGTTCTGATCCAATACTACAGTTGCTCTTCCACTCCCATGGCAATAATTTCCCCATGATATTGAGCACAGTCCTCATGGTGCCTTGTCACCACTGTATGGATCTGTAGATGGAGGTTTCCTATGTTGTACCAGGTAATAAATGTTGAGTTCAGCTGTCTATATTGCACTAGCTCATAAATGCATCAAGTGCTAAAAAATCCCTCTGAAGCTGTGAAACTTTAATGTAGCTTGAGTGCACCCAGGCTCTCCCACGTATCTCCCCATGTATAACTCCCACATGTATGGTAAGGAACAGGAGCTTCTATTCTCAGATGTGAGAAGGTCTGTGCTCATTCACAGTGGCTGAACTAGATGATCTTGCAGGTCGTTTCCAACCTTGCGATTCTATGATTCTGTGATTCTGTGATAGTGTAGTGAGTAACTTACTTTTGTGCGTGAAAGAAATATGTGACCTCCTGTGTGCTCTTGCTTTACATCAAACATACTGCTAGAGTTTTGTCTGGTAATTAAGAACTGGCATAAAGATAAATGTTACCTTTATATTAAAAAAAATCCATTAAATGGCTGACATGAATAAAACTATCTGAAATTGAAGACTTGAAAGCATTTTCTGGTAAATGGGGTATTAGTATCCTAGTATTTGCTGCTGAAATATAATTAATTACATATTATACTATTTACTGTGAAAATTGGATGCATTTAAACTCTCCAAGATATATATGAGCTGCTCAACTTGAACACATTTTCATTCTCTTTTTGGAAGTGATTTTACAAATTCTAAATGAAAACTCCCATCTTCTCTTATTACTACTGCATATTTGAATTTCAGTATCTCATAATATTGGGTATGGTTTTATTTGCTTTATCATCGGCATTTCCAGTAGTACTGTGGTGGTGATTTGGATCCCAAATAATAGAGATAACTCATCTCTGAAGTATAACGGCAAAATTATAAGATGATTTGAGTGCAACACTGTAAAACTGGATACTTTTTAAGCCCTTCATCCCTCCCTTTCTCCAGGGCTGAAGTTGGCTGAAGCACAATTAGTTTAAATGAGAAGTTTGTTTACAGCCATATACATGAGAGTTTTATTCTATATATGTTAGAAACAATAGCTTTGGACTAATAAGAAGATCTTAGAATGTTACTCTGACATCTGCAAGTCATTATTAGAAGTTGCATTCCTGCTCTAGGGATCTCTCCATTTTTCCCCTCCTTTCCTTCTCCAAGATATCTTCTGGAAAAAAAAAAAAAAAAAAAAAAGTCACCAGAAAACAGACCCTATGTATTTCTGTATCTCTTACAATAGCAGAGAGAATAATCCTCAGATGGTAGTCAAAATCCTGTCTCTCACCCTTCTATCAGCAGAGACTTAACTACATTACAACTGCTGCAATAAGAAGGGGGGAAGTAAAAAACAAAACCCACACCCTAACTTCTGGGAGAGAAAATTATCTGGTGAACATATATCTAAATGCTGAACTTCACAGGCTCTTAAATCTGAAGTGGCCTGATTTGGCTATTTTCATGCATGTCAAGTAAAGTCCAACTTGTCCCAGTAAATAGAGCTAAAAGGACAGGGGTCCTTTTAGCTGACCCTCGGGGATCAGCTATGTAATGTGATATGCTACAAAGCAATGTGTACTTTTCACCTCTGCTGATTTTGGTTTGATTCTTATCTTTGTTTGAGGGTTGATCTTTGGCTAGTATTTGTTTGCTAGTACCAACAGGACGTTTGTGGTCACGTAGCCTGAAATAGTGAGGGGCTTCAACTTGTATCTCTCCAGGTAAATGAGCTCATTAGGACTTTAGTCAACACAACTGAAGTCAAGACACACAAGCAACTTCATTAAATTGAAGTGGAACAACTTACTAACTTACTGGTGAACACATCAGTAGTCTATTGAACTGAGGCTTGATGAAGATGTGAGCTGTTGATAAAGTTCCCTGAAAATTTCACTGGCAGAGATGGGGAAGGTGATACCCTTAATCAAAGCATCACAATAATCTGCAGAACAAACACAAGTTAGTACTGAAAGCAGCAAAATTAAATCCAAATTGTAACAGTTTGTTTGACATGCATGATGCAAAAAAAGGAGAGAAGAATATCATCATTAATACATTGCAATGAAAAAAACGTTTTGTGAAAGTTCTCAGATTTGCTGACAATTTTTTATAAGCTGTCTTGTCAGACCCATAAGTAAGATGAAAATATTTTTTGCTAATTTTATTAAATTGAAGGGAAAATATTTAAGTTCAATCTGATCGGTTTTAGAGCAAGCAGAAAATGTGTGGTAAATGAATGTGAATGACCTGCCTGCAGACAAATTCTGTGCACAATTGACTGCATCTTTCTTTGTTCTTGCCAACATTAAAACCCAAGTGACAACACATTTCTGCTTTACATAGCTGGTTAATATGTATATATGTATATATTTTAAATAGCTTTACAAATGTTTGGAAGAATGAGCATTCTTTGGAAGCATTTCAAATGTTAATAGTAGAGCTATAGGAGAGCAGAAAGAGACAAATAGAACAAAAGCATTGCTCAGATTTACATTACTAAATCTAACAGTGGCTTGTGTATCACTTTCCTTTCTATCTGTGATAAATTGCATGTGCAATATCTGTATTTGTTGGCAGATGAAAGATGGAAGCACAGGGATGTGTTTCTCATTAAATGGAGCTGCCCTTAATTTTTTTCTTCTAATTACCAAAAAAGAAGGCATCATTTTACTGTACTTGGCTGTATGTGCTTTGTTATTTAAAATTTCCCTGAGTGTATTAATAGTATGGCACAGTGCATTCAACTGATATAATTTGTGGTGGGTGTGGGAGGGAGTGAAGACCTCATACTCGGGTTTGGGAATATCTACCATGGGAAATCTCCTATGAAATAACTGTTACTTCATGCAGTGTGGTCCATGCCAGATGCTAACCATTTACTCTTCAGATATTTTTCATGAGCCTTGCAGATAAGATAGCTCATTGGGAATTGATTTAGCTGTGTTCTGAAAACTAAGACCTCACCAGAGATGGGGAAATCACCCCGCCTTTCTTTAATTTGGTGGTAGAGCATTAACGAAGGGAACGTTAGTCTCTGGAGCTTCCCCCCACCCTGTAACACATCAGATTCGTATTAGCAATATTTACTTTCTGAAAGGGTGACACAATTTCAGCTGTTTTCAATTTTTGCTCATGGTACCCTAGAGAAAAATGTATACACGAGTAACAATTTACATTTTCATTTATGTGTTTTATTGCAGTGGAGCTGATCACAATAGCATGGTAACAGTTGCTGGTTTTGACAGCATTTGATTCTTTGCCACAGTGGAGGTAGTTGGTTGTGTTAAGAACTGGTAAGCCTATAATTCTGAATAATTAACTGCTGTTATTTTGTAAGTGGAAGCTAAGCAGAAAACATTTGTCTTTGTTTGAAAAAAAAACCCCACACAAATATTTACAGAACAAACAAACAAACTAGAAGAAACAGTGTGTTATTTTGCTTTAGAACTTGCTTTATATATGTACGTGCATACTATATTCAAAAACATGTGCAATGTGTAAAGACAATTTTACAACTTGTACAGCTGTTCACCACATGTGTGGATGCACAGGGAAAACAAATATGAGCTCAGAATGTTCCCCAGTTTATGCCCCTATGAGAAATGTATATGGTTACAGTAAGAAATGTACATATAGGCATAGTTAATAATATGCTAATACTTACCAAAGACTGTGTTTTCAGTAGTATTTCAAAAACTAGAATGAGAATTCTACTAAACTGCAGAATATGTTGGTTGGGACTTTTTTTTTGTTTTTTTTCCTCTTTCTTTTTTTAGCCACAGAAGCAGAACGGGTACACAAAAACCAACAGAAGCTTTAATCTTACTACTTAGGCTGGAATTTTCTTTAAAACATTAGCTGTCTTTCTTTGATTGCAAGAGTGCTGCTCAGTCACATGTTTTGTCTGTCTTTTGTTAACTTGACCGAACAGATGCTAAGCTGGCCTTTCCATTGTAAGGGTGCTTTAGCATACTGCCTGTAGCAGAAATGCTGAGTCATGGCCTGAAGTAGTGATTGAGCACCTGGTGGGAAGGCAGAGCCAACCTAGGGGAGTTCAGGTGCAAGCAATGCCCTTGAGTGACCAGAAGGGGTGGAGCCAGGATCCCACCCTTCCCAGACCTCATATAAGGGTTGGCAGTGGTAAGGGTCTCTATCACTGGAGATCTCTGTGTGCCTGAGGTCTTCTGAGGGTAAGTAGTTTTGTCTTGTTGGTTTTTTTTTTTCTTCCTCTCTTCTCTCCCCCCCTTTGATTCTGTGGCTGTTGTGTTTAGTGAAGTTTCTCTTGTTGTAGCCTAGGTTTTTGCCACTGTTGTTGTACCTTCCCTCAAATTATAGTGTTACAAACTGCCATAGCACTTTTTTCAGTAAAAAAAAAAATGCATCACAGAAACAGCTATTTTTCTTTGTTTTTAAAAAAAAAAAAAAGGAAGGAAAAGTATATTTATAGTTATGCTGAATAAATCTATTTTATTGTAAGTGGTTGTGGTATTTCTCCTGCAACTGTTAAGAAATTATCTTTGTAATCCCTTTTGCATTAAAGAGAATTTGCTGCCTTTTATATTTCTAACTTTGTAGCTTTGGGCACAAAGAATTTTTTTGCTTTCTCTACAGGGATCAGAATTCTATCCCATACAGTGAAACGTAATTGCAGTTGGTGTCTTTACTGTGGAAAAAGTAAAGCCATTTTAGAAATGCATTGAAGTAGAAGATGTTATCTTCTCTGGCATGCCTCCATCGCATCACAGACATGAGCGTGTAAGGTTCTAGGTGTACTGGAATCACCAGTTATGCCTTGTTGAAGAGAAGAAAAATGACTGGGGAGAAGAGATTCTACCATCTCTGGAAGTTCATGTTTGGTGGAGTTCTCCCTAGCAGAAGGCCTGTACAATGCCTAGATAACACGTGGAGTCAAAACAGGAAGAGAGGGTGGCAGAGCAGTACGTGAATGTTGCTTAACTCCTATGAAGCAGAGAGTAAAAATATTTTGTGGATTTGAACTTGCTCTGTGTGAGTGTCTTGGAACAGTGTCAGATGACTCTTTTTCAGGCAGCAATTGTTAGTGTTGTCAGTGCCCTGCAGTATCTTGTCTGTAAGCTTTTCTGACCTGTTTGGGTGACTGTAGACCAGTTAGACTAAAATTGTGTCCTTTCAGCTGCAGGGGGTATGTCTATTTCAGTGTTTCATTTTGAATCAGGAGCAGGCCTTGGAAGCCAAGTTCCTGGCCATTCACCCCTGTGGCATTTTGGTTTACATGATGAAACAAGTCTCAGAAGACAAATAGGATTCCTTCTGGGTGAAATTAAACTGTGGCCTGAAAGCGCACCTAAGATGCTGCAGTGGATTTGCAGTCCACACTGGAATTGGTTGGAGGTAATTCACCCTATTATCAGGTGCTCAAGACGTAGCTTCTGTTCTGTTGACACCTTCCTCTTGTACTGCACTAATTGTTACTGGAGATAGGCATACAGTCTAATCACTTTTTTTAATGCATTTATTCAAATCTGTTCTTATATCTTCCTTCTGGAATTGATTACTGCTCATTAACAAAGTGATTGGTGAGAAACAGGGTGAGGCAGATGGTGACCAGCCGGTACGCTGTAGCATGATGCCCTTCTCACCCTCAGTGACAGTACTGTGGCTCACTCGTTAGGGGCAAATTTCAGAGTAGTTAACTGTTCTGTTTCTGTTGACTCTTGATGTAAAAATATATTGGAACCTAATGCCTGGAAAAAAAAACGAGCAAAAATGTGGTAGTGTGACAAGGAGGTCTGTGGCTTACAGATCTTCCTGTCTGTCTATAAATGGCTAAATCAGCATGTTTTCTAGAGGAGGTAAATTTATCTGTCAATGCCTTAAAAAAAAAAAAAAAAAAAAAGTACATTGATTTCAATTTTTCTTTTTTTGTCTTTGTGGTTTTTTTGTTTCCTTTTTGGAAAGAGCAAATTAAAAAAAAAAGTATTGAAAAGAAAATACAAGCACACAGTGTCTCGTAGTAATCTTGATCTCTTATGCTTTGTGCCAGTTCAATACTTTAGATGTGTTTTGGCTAGTTCAGGAAAACACAGGTAGTTCAGAATGGGCTTAGAAGCCTCTTGCAGGTTCATATTGCAATGGTAGACATCTACCCTGTCATTGTGTGAATACATCAGAAAAAGATGTTGGTGCGGATGAAACTTCTGATTTTCAGGATAAAATATGTCCTTAAGACAACATTAAAAAAATGAAGGAGCTGAGTAGCAGTTCTATTGGCTATGTAAATTCGTGATCTCTGCTAAAAGTGTAACTTGCCCTTGATTTCCTTATTCTTTTTTCTTTTTGACTGTGGCTTTAAACAGCACTGAGTGTTTAATTTTATGTCTGATAAACTTCAGATGAATCAATAGATATACACTAGATTGCTTACAGTCAGCTTGTACAGAAGGTTCTCAGTCCTGAGATAAAAGCAGGAACAAACCAGGCCCAGCTCTAAGTGATGTCCATATGTGATAACCTTGGCAAGATTTCTGAGAGGATACTGGTTCTGAGATATTTAGTTTGTCCTTCAGCTTGTTGTCATCTTGACAGTAGTTGACACTAGCAGTTATGTGGAACAAATTCTTCAGAAATACTTAAGGGTTGTCGACATTAAGTTGTGCAGGGGAGATGTAGGTGGATTACAGGATGCAGCTGTGAGAGTTACCAAAGCTTGCGTTTGGCCCCTTAGTGTGGAGTATTCGTGGAACTACAGCTCGCTGGGGATACTTTGGACTACTTGTGAACAGATATTTTGCAAGTCTTTGAGCTCAGATCTGTTCTATGATTGGTATATTGGTCATCTGTTTTGTGGTGCTTTCAGCTGCTTTCAACCTATCTATTGAAAGACTGTCTTTCTCCACAAGCCCACTGTTACTAGTACAGTCAAGAGATGTTTGAAGTGATACACATCCCCCTGAAACTGCCCTGGATGGCTGATTTCTCAAGTGAGTTCTCTTCTTTGGAACTCAGGCTTTCTCCCAGGTACAGAACCTGCCCTACTGTCTGCCTGATGTGGCTTTGCAAGCATCTGAATGTTGAGATAAGACCATCCTTTCCTCCAAGAGCTTGGTAAAGGTAGGTTGTAAGGAGATTGGGTTGTTTTTTCTTCTGTTTTATCAAGATCTCGATCTTTTGTGTATATGAGAAAGAAAAAGAAGACTGTATTTGGCTTTTTTATAATGTGTGAATGGGAACAAAGAGTGAATTTTGATAGCAGTTCACACACATCTGCTGTAAATAATTGATACTTCTTGAATCAATGCATGACATGAAAGTCTTCCAGCAGCAAATCACGTGTCAAATTTAAGTATAAACCCTTCAGGAATTATATGTGTGCACTTGTCTTACATCTCGGACTCCAATGAAGGACAGTTAAGATGGATAGATCACATTCCCTGGCACATTTGTTGTTCTTTCAAGCATGACAAGCTAACACATGGGAGAAAACAAACATATATCCAGCATAAGGCATTAGTCAGTAGCAATCTAAGCTGAAGAAATTTGAATGTAATATAGAACAGATCACATGGAGAGGAAAAAAAATGAGGCCCAATACTTGCAGAAAAGACTTAAATACTTACATTCTTTTGTCTTTTTTAATATGTCCTCTGAAATAGCGAAAGCAGTACAGTATATGTGAAGGAAATGCTTTTACATTAATTCTTGAAAAGGAGTGTATTTTCTTTAGGTGCAGTTCTAACTCTAACCATAGAGTGGCAGTGCAGAATTCCTTCCCTGAAGTTCTGGAGTTCAAATAAATAAGTTGCAGCCTATGCAATTCATTACTCAGATTGGCAAACCCAGAAATTTTGCCATAGGTTGATGTTGAGGCTCCTGCATGCAGTGTGTTTAACTAGGTGACTTTCTGCTGTGGGGGAATGGTTTTAGAAGCAGAGTATATACTTGTCTAATTTTTCCACTTAAAAATGTTGTTGCCTATTTTGGACTCCAAGTATCTTACATGAATAACTTCATGATTTCCTCATCCTTAAGGCCCTTTGCAGGCAGAATGCTGACAAAATAAATAATAGCATTATTTAATGAAACGATGACCTGCAACTTCTTAAAATTCACGTGGAATATTTTCTCATTTCTTTAGGATTTATACTTAAAATCTAAACATCTACTTAATTTGTTTAAGCTGTAGTTCTGTCCTGAAACAGGTCTTATCTCAGGCATTTTTGCTGTACTGGATGAAATTTAACTTACCAAAAATGTCCAATAACTTCTTACATTGTTGCGCGTTCCTTTCTTTCACTTGCATTTGCTTATTTAAGTTGTTAACTCTCTAGAAAACAGGTTTGTCTTATTTGTTTTTCAATAAAACCTTTGACATCCTGTGTATATAACAAAGTAAAATATAATAAAGTAATTATGCCATTGTATACATGAGAAGATTTTAGCCTGTGATATTTACATCTTGGCTGTGAAGAATTCCATCCGTAATGTGGTGTTGAACCACAAACATGTCTTATGCTTTTAAAGCTCAGAACTGAATATAGCAATCTGGGAACTCTGCAGACCACAGCTACAATTTTAGTCATGTGTAATTCTATAGCTTAGATATTTGCAGAGAGTGAATGTGCAGGCTTGAATCTGAAAGTTTGTGCGTATCTTATTTAGTATTTTTGATTTCTGTTAAATTCTAGGTATTGTGTGATCTAGTCTAAAGAGAATTGTCTGAACTTGAAGAGGTTAAAATCACCTGTTGACTTCTGCCTATTTGATTGCTTTTTGGATGAGGCTCTGAACAGACAACATGCCATATGGGATCCAGCCAAAAAGAAGTAATTGAGCAGTACAGGTATGCTACTCTAACATTTTTCTTTGTTTGGTTTTTTTTTTTTCATACAGTTTCTCTTTCTTCCCTCTTCTGGTCTGTTGTGTTTGCACTTGTTATGCTGGTGGTCTGTAAACATGAGAAAAATGTTGGAAGGAGAATAAGGGGTGTATTAGAGTCAAAGAGGGGTGCTGGGTATGGGGGAGTCAGTGTGAGGTGAGCAGGTAAGAATAGGAGGCACAAAAAGGCTGGTTGGTCACACTGGAGGGTTTCTGTGTGGTTTTTTTCCTTAATCTGAAACCTTCAGAAATGTTATTTAAATTAGATTTGTAACTTCAATGTTGACCTCAAAACCCATGGTACTACCAGGTTTGGGTAGTATGAGACATGGTTTTTTTTTTTTGTTTGTTCTTGGAATTTTTCCAGATTTTCTGCAGCACTTGAAACTTATTCCCTGCCTTAATCCAAAGTAACTTTCAAGTATAGACAGGCCTAACAGTATAACACTAACATTTACTTAACTTTGGCAGAAGTTATAGGTGTTCAAGGAATGCAGGATTGTTTTGTAAGGAACATAGAATTTTAACCTCATTAGTTGATATTAGTGAGTTATTTCCTAAGAAGCTTTAGATGCCTTAATTTTGTTAATTGGACCTTCATGTGAAACATTGTATGGGTAAAGCCATAAAATTACCCATAAGGAAGAATTAGTTCTTACTAATGTCTGGGAATCATTTCTGTGATCTTGAAATAATTTGACAGGAAAGTATTTTCATACTAAGTTGCTTGTTTATTGAAATATCTGCTTTCAGAATTACAGTCTCCAAATCAATTTGAGAGTGGTTATTTCATAGAGCTGTTAAGCTGTTATACCTTCTTTTGGTGGGTGAAGTTCTCTAAATAGTGCTATAAATAGGCAAGATGCTCACATCCTGAAGTATCTGCTTCAAGTACACTTCCGCTTGTGGCAGTGGATTCATAATAAGAATATATTCATTAGCAGGAGGCACATTCAATATTGATCATCATATTCAATGATGTAGTCCCTAGCTCAGAGTTTACTCTTAAAGCTCCAGTCCAGCATCATTACAGAAGTCAGAGATTATTCTGAGTTCCTTGAATTGTGGGAATTACCCAGACAGTGAAGGTTTTCAGTATGGCAAGGTTTTAAGAACAAGCTAACTCCAATTCTCTTGTTTAAACTCCATGAATTAAAAAAAAAAAAAGTTAGCTTGTATGAAATTTGATTTCATAAGAAGTTGAACAGTGTGGCTTCAGTTAAATAAGCACTGATTGGTAAGTGTACGCTCTTCAGCAGTGCCTGCTTAAAACTGTGCTGAAAGTCATTTGCTGAATCAGTGCTAAATGTGATAAGCATCTTGCACAGCTGAGCTCCTTGCTAGGTAGTCAGAGTGTTGGACACTCAGGAACCTGGCTGGTGGCAAGGCTTCTGTAAATGCTAAGTAATGTGGATGTCTCTTAGCAGTGAGATCTTTAGGCTTGAGTGACAAAGGCCAGCATGTACCTATGCGGTGTAGGAGTCTAAAGATCTGAACAAAATAATGTGGAGTTGAATCCACATCAATAAGGCCTGTCCTTAGAGAGGATTAGTTACTTAATACAGCATGTCATTTTAGGGTACTGATGCTGCTTCTGGTTTGTGTGATGTGAACTCATCTGACTCTTCAGAGTGGGTTAGAGTTTCATGACAGTAATGTGAGGTTTTAATTGATGGTGGCTTTATTTTTTTTTTGTGAGTAGCACATGAGTAATTGCTACTCATAGAAGTATATATTCCTAATGAATTTTTAGTCTACATAGATAAAAGCATTTACTAGCAATGACTCAGAATTGATGCTGTCTCAAAAATACAGACATTGAAACTGCAATTGTTAACTTGGGGCAGAGTCCTTAAGATAAGGATTGGCATTTACTTAGGCTGAATTCTGCAGCACTCTGTAAGCTTGCAAAAGTGATTTGCCACAGCTTTCATGTACCTTGCTGAGGATAATCCATTGCATTGTTGGATTTGGCCAGTGGCTGCTAAGTGAAATAATCCTGCCCTGGAAAAGAAGTGAGCCACTAGAGCAGCAAATACTTAAAGTGTGGATTACATATACAGTTCTGCACAGCTTAACGCTACAGTTAAGATGAGAGGAATTAACTTGATTTTAATAGGAAATTAGGTATCTTCTTGTTGTTCTTTCATGAAGTATTATAAAAAAATATATAGCCAGAGCCAATCAATCATAATGTTCCTCTGCCAGCCAAACTTTACACCTGACTATACTTGTATGCAGTAACTGAACTTCATGCACATCAACTAATTACAGAAGAGTTTGTAACTATAAAACAATGTTGAGCATGGCTTGGAAAGTCTCATCAGACATCAGAGAAGTGGTGTAAAGCCTCAACTTCTTGGATGCTTAGTACCTAATGAAGGTGGCTCTGAGGGCAGGAATCAGTTCTTTCCTAATACCAGTGCAAATGGTGATAACAATTTTTAGCTGCACACAGCAAATTTGGCTTTACCAAGATTTGTACACACTTTGTACACATTAACAGCTTTGGCCACTCATCTGAGTAAATGTTATCAAATTTAATCTGTGCAGGATTGATACTTAAATGAGTATTTAAAATAATAAGTCATTGCTCTGCTTAAGTCTCAATCCCACTTTTGATCAGCACACTGGGATTTTGGGCAGCGGAAGTGAAGTAGACATAATATGCACTGAAATACATGTGTTGCTTTTCGTGCTGCAAAATATTAATTTCTTCTTTAGCTAAGGGACTTCCCCCACCTCCGCATCTCTTGTGCAGATTTTGTATCTGACATATAGACTTGGAGTAATAGGGGGATTATATCATGCTCCAACACGCGCAACTTTTCAAACACTTAAAGATAAATCAAAAGTTGTGCAAGTGGATTTAGGCTGCCAGAAAGCAGCCTGAACTTGTATTTTGCTTGTTTCTTCAGGTTTTAGAAGGCTGCCTACTGAAATTCTACAGGCAAACCAAATGCTTATTATAGCAACTTTTGGTTTACTTGTTTAAGGCCTCAGCTAATGCCAACATTTTGAGGTTTTGTCTCCATGAGGTGCTCAGCAGTGCTGCCCAGTGTGGGTGCCGAGGATTAAACTGCTCACAGGCCCCTGGTGTGCATTGTGGGGGCTCTGCAAGGTTCTTCCAAAGGGGAAAACAGCACTAAGTATAGGTGGTAGCAAGTTACTCTGGTCTGCTGGCATTTCAAGAGTGGGTAAGTTGTTTAAACTCTTGCAGCCTCTTAATGAGGCTACAAAGTATGGTAGCAATCATCTGACAGCACACTAGTGAACTAGTGAAATTTTGGTGAAGCGTTCTGAAACTCCTCTTTTATTCGCTGTGTTTCTGCCCGTTCTCGCCGTGAGCTCCGTACGGGAGCTGCTCATTCGGATAAGCGGGTGGGGGCTCGGAACAGTCACGGAGCTTTCTGGTGTTGCCCTGCCCGCGCTGGCTGCGGCGCCCAGCGGAACCGGCACCGAGCAGCAGCGGTACCCCAGCCCAGTCAGTTCTAAGGAGCCGTCGGGCTTCGGAAGCAGGTTCTCCGCACCCCTTGCCGAAGGAGAGCGTTATGGTAGAGCTTGGCGATAGCAGTGAAGTGCAAAGCCCTCACCCGTGCTCTCTTCGCTCCAAAACTCAATGTACTGCTGAAACGGGAAATTTGACAAGCCGAAGAGCGGATTCAGTACAGAACCACCTCTGTTATATTCTGACACAAAGGCTCCTCTTGCGCACGCAGACCTCCGCCTGCACGTCACGCGGCTCCTTCCCCTGCCCCGGGTGGAGCCGCGGAGCGCAGGTGCAGCCGAACGGCGCTCAGGTGCGGCGCGGGACCGGCCGGCTCCGCGCGGCGAATGGGCCCCGGGGGCGGGGACGCCGTCGGTGCCGTCACGGCGCAATCCCCGCCCCGCGTCCAATGACGGCGCAGCCCCGCTCAGCTCGGCCCGCCCCGCCGTGTGCGCGGCGCTGCCGCCGTGGGGTTACTCGCGGTCTGGGGGCCGGCCGGGCGGCTGCGCGCCTCCTCCTTCTCCTCCTCCTCCTCGCCGCCTCCTGCCGCGGGCCGGGCAGTAGCGGCCGGCGCTGGGTCGGCCTCGGCGAGGGTCCCGTTCGGTTCGGTTCCGTTCCCGGCCGGCGCTGCGCTGCCCATGGCGTAGCCCCGCAATCGCGCGCCTGCCCCGCGGGACGCGGCGTGGACGGAGCTCCTGCCAGGTACGTGCGGGCGGCCCGGACCGGGAGTGGGCGGCGGTCCGCGTCTCGCTCACGGGGCCGGGAGCGGGACCGTGGTTGGGGCGGCCGATCCGTGGGACTGCGGGGGGCGAGGCGTGAGGGTGAGGCCGGGAGGCAGCGACCGGCAGCCGTCGGGTCCCGGCAGCGGCGGGAGGAGGTGAGCAGACGCGGTCGGGTCTGGCGGTGCGCGTTACAGGTGTCACTCGAGCGGTGTGTGGGGCCGGTAGGGCGGCTCTCTGCGGGGTCGGTGCTGCCCCACTGATGGGCCACTGCCCCAGGAACGAGCTATGGAGCTGGCGCGGGCGTGGTGGTGACACGAGAGGCGTGAAGGCGGTGTGCGGGTTGGCGTGGTGCGGCTTCGCCGTGCTTTCGCTGGGAAGCTGCTGGCCTGTAGGAGGTGCGTCCTGCTGCCACCTCTCAGCACCTCTGTGTGCCACGCTCCCACCAGGTGTGCCCAGGCCACTTCTTCAGCTCCCCCAGTTTCACGAGCTCTTGCTAGTCCCAAATAACTGCTGCTGGCATCATTGAAGATGACGCATTTTGTCCTTTTACCAATTTCACTAATTCCAGGTGTAGCTGCCTTCAGGGCTGCACCTTCCTTAGGTGCTGGGAGTGCAACCAGATGCCAATGGGTTTCCCTCATTTGTGTTACACTGTAGCTATTGTGACTTAGTTGCTGTCACAGAGTATTTTCTGCACATCTGACCATGTCCATGTCCCCATAGATGTTCCCACAGATGACCCCC